GAAGGGGGGGGGCAGCGCAAGCAAGCTGGGCGGAATGATGCGTGAAGGATGGAGAGAAAGGTTGATCAACGGGTTGTGTGCCGGCGGCGGCGGGCGGGCTTGACTGTCTCGAGGCCTCGGTGCTTTCGCGCGAGGGAAGAAGCGAGATCGAGGCAGGACGGAACAGAATCGGGAAGACCGTTCACAGGGACAAGGGGTAGAGGAGGTGCGTCGACGGCGGCTGACTGTCTAGGGTCAGGGTCTAGTCTAGGGTCCTGTCGGTGGACGTTGAGGCACGTTTGTTGGTCTGGCACCTGGGACTGTGAGCTAGAGAAGAGGAAAAGAGAAGAGACAGAGGAGAGAGGTCGGAGTTTGCCATCGAGCCGGGGCGGGCTGCGGCGGGTGGTGCGGTACGGCGACACGCAGCATGTGGCCGACGGCCTCGAGCCCGCGATGGATGGTGCCAAGGCGCCGGGTTTTCCAGAACAGCGGGAAAGGGGAAGGAAAAAAAAAGAATAAAAAAATGACAAGGCAGCAAAAGGCAAAGGTCAGGGTGTGTGCATCTCGAGCTCGAGCTCGAGTTGAGGGCCGGGGGGCAACCTTGATGGCCACGATCTGGATCCACATCCCACTTTCGTCGGTCGCTGTTGCCCATCTGGACGTGGGTGAGGACCCGGATGGCCTACCTTTTCTCTTGGCAGGTCCCACCTCCAGCCTCTTGCGCGCAAATGGGCAAGCGCGTCATGGTGCTGACTGCCTGCGCTTGGGGGTGGCATGCATCCATCCAGCAGACTATCTGAGATCAAGTGCCTTGGGCAACAGCAGCGTGGACAGGCAGCAGTAGAAGCGTCTCATGCCATGCCTCATCCCATCGCGTGAGGTCCTCTACATGCGGCCGTGTGAAGCCAACAGATACATAGTAGATAGATGCCACTGACCTTAACCTTAACTCTAGATGGATGGATCCGGCAAGAGCAGCCAACACACGGCCGGCGGCTCCACTCCTGTCCGCCAAGCTTAAATCCCGCGTCGCCTTCCGAGAACCTGGATGGCCGCGCTAGTCTCACAACCCCCACATTCGACCTCACCTCCTCCACCGCCTGCTGACCCTCGCCTGCGTGATGAAGGACGGCCGCCCGGCCAGTGCTGTATGCCGCCGAGACCTGGGTGACAGAGACCTGGGTGACCAAGATGGGTGTTGGTCGACCACGAGGGCCTGTCCACGCTGTCGGGCAGAGGCCGCCCTCGCTTAGCCTGTGGTCTGGCCGTGGCTGGTCATGAGACCGATGAGGAGACAGGCAAACCGAGAGAGAGACACCTTGTTCGCGAATGCAACCAAAAACCATGGCTCAAAGCGAGTTGCGCCCTACTTTTAAGCTTATCCCGAAGCCTAACTCGCCATGCATTCTCCCGACTCGTGCCCTGTCACACGATGCCGTGTCAACCGAAACCACGCGGTCGTGGCTGGTGCTGTTCATGTTGGGCACTGCAGCAAATAAGCCTCGGTGAGGAGGGTCTTGCAGACACGCTTCGCAAGGCTATACTCTACCGTGTCCATAAAAATCACCTTTGCTGTGCATGTTCATAGCCTCACTCGTGTCTGCAACGGCCATACTGCCTGCTGGCATATTCGCTGGTGCATCTTGTTGCGTGGATCAAATCCACCACGTCAGCTTGGGGTGTGGGAGGCTGAAATCACAGGCTCATCATTATCATCACACGGCTCCGTGACATGTTCATGCAAGGGCCACGCCCAATTCATTCTATGGTTCTACTATTTGGTCGATCCGTAATGTACAGGCCGAGAATGCCTCCACAGGAAGAAAAGGCAATACCAATCTCGACCTACAAGAAAAGAAGACAAACGTTGCCCCAGAGCCTTCAGCTCGGTTTTTTTTTTTCATTCCCCATCGCATTTACATGCTGCACGATTTTGCAGTATTTTTGCTGACCAAAAAACAATAGGCCAAAGACACGCCCGACCCCCTCGTTCTTTCCGCTTACAGGGGCGAGCAGGGCGGCGACAGCGACGACGCCCCATGCCGGCGGCGACGTTGGCGGCACCGGCCTCGGTGACGTCGGAGGGGGTGGAGGAGGCGGCAGCATCCTTCACCGGTGGTGCCGGCAGACGAGGTGGTGGCGTTGGAAGCAGGGGCAGGGCCCTCGCAGTGCCAGTGATCGCCGTGGGGCTCACAGCCGACGGACTGGGTGGGCGCAGGCGGGAGGTCGGGGTGGACGGAAGCCGAGGCGGAGGTGGTCACCTGGGCGCCCGTCTCGACAGCGGCCTCGCAGTGCCAGTGGTCGCCGTGGGGCTCGCAGCCGGTGGAGGCGGTGGGAGAGGGAGGGAGCGAGGGGTGGAGAGACTCGGAGCCGTGGGACTCGTGGTCGTGGTCGTGGTCGTGATCATGGTCGTGATCGTGGTCCTCGGCGGCGGCAGCGGTCGTGGTGGTGACGGCAGCGGCGGAAGAGGCGACGACCGAGTCCACGGCAGCGTTGGTGGGGGCAGGGCCCTCGCAGTGCCTGGCGAAAAGTCAGCATCCCTTGTGAGACAATTGTTGTGAGGCTGGGACAAACTCACCAGTGGTCGTCGTGGGGCACGCAACCGACGGACTCGGTGGGCGCGGGGGGCAGAGACTGAGCAGCCGAGACGGAAGCAAGGCCCATGAGGGCGAGGATCTGAGCAGCCTTCATTTTGATGGTGGCAGGGTATCAGTATCAACTGGAATGGACTGCTGTCGATGGATTGTACAGGGACAAGCGAATGCAGACTCTTCGGTGGGAAACGAATGTGAAGGTGAGGAGCAAAAGAGTCAGCCAGGAGAAGCACCGAGTGCGCCAGAGCTTTATATTCGAGGTACGCTTATGGCACGAGCTGTGGCTCGACGGCGCCGGGCCGTACTGAGAGTGGTGCCAACGCCTTGTGCCAGGATGAGACCTTGCAGTCACAATGCGGGCGTGTTGCTTGGCACCAGAACGAGGCGCCTCGATTCCCCGATGCGATGTGCGTCGGACCCGGTCCGGGACAGGGACATTGGAATTGAGACGTGAGCAAGTAAACGCCTGGTTGCACAGAGGAGCCCGCCCGAGTCCCATTGGCCCGTATGCCGCCTCATACTTCGAAGCAAGGCATTGCGTCCTTGCCACCCGTTCAATTCAGCTGCCAAATCGACCAGGATTGAGTACTCAGGGCCCTCAAGCTGGAGGGGGCGGGCGGTCTTGGCAGTGGCTCCAGTCCGTCTCCCCATCCGGCCATCAGGGTCCTCACGAGGAGGATGGAGGGTTTCTTCCCGCATTCGGATATGGTGCATCCACCAACCACCACACCGATGCCGACGTCTGCTCGGTCTAGCTTGTCGTCATTCTGCCTCTGGTCATGGTCGGCGGTTGGGAGAAAACTCCTCATAACGGACCTCGCCCCCCCCCTCCCCCCCTTGTTGTGGCCCCCATACGAGTCGACCTTGATGGAAATGAGCCTGCTCATCTCTCCAGCTGGCCAGCCTCGTTGCCAGCGGCCTTTTGAGCAGCTAACAGGTCGTGTCGATCGTTTTATCTCTAACTAGTCTGATCCTTTCAATCCCGACAGACAAGAGTTCGCTTCGGTCTACACATGAACCCGTCTAGCT